GATAGAATAAAACAACGAAAAAAGTTAACAATGTGCCAGAACTATTTGTTACCATAAAACATCCTTGTGTCCACTTCTCAGCACGTTGTGGCTGTTTCCATCTTATTTTCAGTCTCTGTTCAGGCGGGTGGGAGGTCTTCTGCTCAAGGTGAGCATGCAATGACATCTGTTGTTGCTGGAATTGCTAGAGAGAGGCAATTTCAGGCAGAAATCCTGGTAGCTACCTGGGTGCAGTTTAGTGAAAGGATTTTTTTTTTCCTGTTGGGAGTGTAGTTTTGTGTGAGGCTATGAACGTTTGCTCAGATTGATGGAAAGAGTTCCAGGTTACAATAACCAGTGAAATAAGCATATTCGGCTATTCATAGTCTGACCAATGTCAAAAGTCGGTTTTGCCTGGATCACAATATCCTCTGCAGTGGTTGCGCTCTGGCCGGAGAACCAGTAAGCCAAAATGATTAGAAATGAAACTGTGGCTGGTTACTTTAGCAGCGAAGCCCCAAAGCCACCTTTGCCTGCTGATCCTCTGGGTGTATGTCTGCGCTGGTACCCAGGGTCAGCCAGGTGGTTACTTACCTGCATCACATTCATCCTTTCCTCTATCTGCTGGATTTTTTCCTTTTACTGGCTACTGGAGTAGATATTTGAGGCAATATTTATTTCAGAGAGACATTCCTTGTAATATTCTTCTCTGCTTTGGAGGTTAATAAAAATCTAAGCCTTTATCTACCAATGAGTTCACGCTGTGCGTGTAGTTCAGACTTGTTGTCCTGCACAGAGGATTTATTCTCTGTCACAGTCTACACGTGCACCTTGAGTTTGTGGGAGCAGGATATACTTGCTTATGTCAGATTATGCAAGAAAGTAAATGATGAGCTGCTAATCCTGATTGTTTTCCAAAAGTATTAAGTAATAAAATGTCAGGCCCACAAGACAGCTTTATTTAAGCCATGTAAAAGTCTTGCTTTTCTTTCTATTGCTTTTAGCATGTAAAGAGGAGAATTTGAGTGGTTTTGAGATCTGACACTTGGGATCACAGCCACAACAAATAGTGCAGTTTCAGACCCAAAAACCTAACCCAAACTGTGTATAGCAAGAATAAACACAAACACAGTGCTAGTGTACACAAGTTAAACTGTACCAAACTGGTTTTCTCTCTTAATTGACCTTCACCTGACGTGTTCTTCAAGTATTGTTTTCCTAGTTGGATTTTCAGCCTCACTGAACTCTTTAAACTTCTTGCTCCCATTAAATCAATATCAACTATTTTATGATGCAAAGCTGGCTTCTCCAGTTACAAAGACAATGTTTGCTAAATTTCTTCTTCTTACGGGTTTATTTTAAATTATTTACCTTGTCGCATTCCTACAGATTAGAAACCTTTTGTCTGTGATTTCTTTCTATTCTTTTTTAAAGGCAACAAAGTGGAGTTTCACTTGTCAGTAAAGGCTTTGGCTCTGCATTTTGCACTTCTCTGGGAAGGTGCAGATATTTACAGAGAAGAGCTCGTGCACATGAGAATATGAAAGGAGATTATGTTTTTGCAGGCAGGATAAGCCACATTGCATTTACCACAAGATAAGAGTGAACTTGGGCAGTTGAACTGATGTTCTGTTGGTTTCCACTATGATATTCTTGCGCTAACTGAAGAGTGTCAACACAAAGGTTTAACAGAATTTAAAAAACCAAAACTTTCTAAATTAATGCAGATTGATTTCTTGTTATACCTCCCTCCCACAGACAAGATCTAAAGGTGTGGAGTTAATAAATACTTTTGCTAAAACAATGCCAACTTGGTGGTCTGATGCTCTCATGGAGAGGTAAGCTGGCAGTAGGCAATAGCCATGTAAAGCGAGGTAGGCGCTGCTGTAGCCAGCTGTGGGCATGTCTTACTGTGAAACAGCTGTGAAGCAGATTAAGCCTCGAGTAGTTAAACAGCCTTATGTATACCGTGAGGTTAGAGTGTGCACAGCGGTGGTCACTGCAGGATAGCGGCCTTACACCTGTGTGCACCTTCGCTGAGGCCAGAGTTGCTCATGCTTTTCTCCAGGACTTTGATAAACCTGCACACAGGAAGCAATGGTGGAGAGACGATAAGCATCATTCTATGGTGGAGCAACAGAAAGCAAGGGGTGGTTTGACACCTTAATCTGTCCGTGGCAGATAAGTGACTGTGAAGTGATAAGAAGAGTCACTGTGGTTTGGAAATCAGCAGCTGCAAAGAAAGATGCTAAGCCCAAAGAATGAAGAAGCTGGGGCAAGGGTATGCTTTCAGGGCCCTTAATTATTCTTTAGATTATTTCTACTGCAGTAAATAGTAATAAATAATAATAATAATGATTTTTAAAGTGGTTTCAACACCTGCACGTGCACCTGTGCATTTATGAGAGATATGGTTTGGAGTTGCCAATATGGTTGGATGTCTGGGGAAAAGAGTGGCTAGGCTGTTTTGCATCCCCAAGAGAGCATTGGTGTTTTCAGATGTGTAGGGTTGATTTGTGGATCGGAATTCCTGGCAGGTTTGCGAGTCTGGGTCTCGAACCTCAGAGCAGCCCTGGAGAGCCAGCTCAGGGCTGTCAGTACGCTGGGTCATAAGATGTAAAGACCCAGTAGAGAAGCCTGACTGTATAGGGAGAATTATATGAGCAAGATCTTGAGTATATAGCTACCACTGGATTTGTGTGAAACTAAGATTATATGTAGATATATAGACTCAATGTCCTTTAAACTGTCTGTTGGTTTAAGTCATTTTATTGGGGGACCTTGCTGAAAAGCTTTGGGAGCCTTTGACTATAGTCTCAGCTGGCGTGAGTTGTTTTCTTTTTGATGCATCACATGAGAATTATCTGTATAAAGGTGAGGTGCCCTGGAGAGCTGCAACTCAGCCAGCCATATGCTTAGGTAATGATACAACCCAATTCCAGCATAGCAGTTAGCAGTTGTTCAATACACACTTTGTGATCTTATTGATAAAATTATCAGTTATCATAACATCCAGGCATATGTGTGGCTGCGTGTGGACTCAGTGGTAGCATGGGAGTTCACCGTAGAAGGAGGAAAGACAACCTCTCTGGAAGGCATTTCTTTGGGACAGAACTTAACTCTTTTTTCAGCATAGATTGCTTTCTGTTTAAGCACACAATGTTTCCTTCTGTGGTCTATCTCATCCTCCAGTCTGTAAGACAAACTGGCTGAAATTAAGGCATGTTGGGAATGACATAAGTTGTTCCTAGCAATACAAAAAGTGTACTGACTATATATGTATTTCCTATTTATCACTTCATATATTGAGTATATATAGCACATGCTGCATCTCTTCACAATTGGTGTCTTCACATGCCTTAGGCCGTTTAAATGTTGTATCATCTTCTGATTTTGATACCAGCACACACAGGTGTACATACCTGTTAGTGATTCAGCTCCAGGCGTATTCTAATAGATGTGTTGGCTGCACAGCCCTCCTCACAAGTCCTGGATTTTCTTATCTGGTAGGAGGAGAAGCACATCTTGTCCCTTCTTAACAAGGGTCACCAAAATCGAGGATCTGCAAGCGACTGTGCCTTCAACTGCAGGAGAAGGGAGCACCCTCAAGACCCTTCTCCATTTATTTTTGGGCTCCTCTAAGAAACTGCAGAAGAATTACAAAAATTAGTAATGTTCCCTTTCTGCTTGCCTCTGCTGAAGCCCAGGACTGGCGTTCGCCAGAGGAGCTACTGTGCAAGCCACTGTTTAGTGAACTTTGAATGGATGTCCTCAGAACCAGAATGTCTCTGCCCTTTCCAGGGCAGCTCATCTCATACCTGTAACCGCACCTGCGCAAAGGAGGTTGTGACCCCTCTCTCTGTGCCAGTACTGATGAACTGAGATTTCCTAAGATAAGGCTTAGCAAGTCTGACAATAGTTCTCTATCTAGTTCAGAAAAACATTTCTACATGCAGTTTGAAGACACCAACAGGTCAGACCAGCAATCTAAATTGTGCTGGAGTCAATTTTAAAACCCAATTTTTAAATTATAGAGGCTGCTTGCTTTAATTGCCACCAGAGTGGAGCGCCTAGACTGTGCTGTGAATAGAGAGGCTGCTTCTGTCAAGATGCTGTCACAAACACCAACAGGCACTGCTACCTTCACTCTGGGACATAATTTCAGAGAAATCCATAATATTCTGTATGTAACATTTGGATCTGGTCATATATGAATCATTAAGGAAAGATCATTTAAGACAGGGTAACTAGGATCTGATGACTGCCCAACCTTAACATGTTCTTGATGAACCTCTGCAAATGTCTTCTAGTGATAGTTATTATAATGTTACCCGTAGTGTAAAACTACTATAGTGTAGAACAGCCACAGTGTTAAAACTGATAATCTGATGGTGGAGCAAGAAATTGTTTTTCTCAGCTCATAAAATTTTTTCAAGACCTTACCTATTTTTTCCTCCTTAAAACAGGATTAAGAATCTGTAATTTTTAAGATTTTTGAACTCATAATCCGATATTTTATATCGTCAATTGAAATATTTTAAAAGATAACTTCAACTCATCTATTTCACTTTGTCTGCTTTAATTTTAGTATTATTAAGCATTTTAAGAGTAATGTCGTTCCAAAAATTCTAAGACATGCTTGCCGACAGTTTAGAAGTTACTGGGAGGAAAAGGGGAAGACAGACATATAAACAGACACATAAACCTTTCTAGTCTGTGTATTTGTGTATGTGTGTATCCTTTGAAGCTTTTCTCTGTACATAAGTTCCTATCCTAGTCTATAGACGACCAGCGAGTTGGCCTGTGGGAAAGACAGCATGTAGATCTAAAGCTGCTGGAGATCTGATACAGTTATTTAAAATTATCCATATATTTGTGAACAAGTCACCCATGAGTTTGGATTTAGATTGGATTATATGTAAAGATGATCTCAATTAATCGATTACTGGGACAACACATTACAGTGTTTATGTCTTTATACTACAGCACCTGCTCTCTCTCTGCATTGAATTTGTTATTCTCTTGTTGTACAGGTTTTAGGGAACAAACCAGCGCTTCCCGAGTGCAGTGATGATGATGATGAGCTGGCTGATATTACAAACAGGAGAAGTGCTAAACTATATATGGTAATTTGTTTAATTATTTATTTGTTTGTTGATTTTAGTTAGGTACACTCAACAGTATTCATGCATTCATTCATCCCTCATACCTGGAGTTCTGGCTTCAGTTGCAGAACTGCAGACGTGTTAAGTTGATTTGCAGCCAAAGGAGAAGTTTCTCAAAGGATGTCAATCCAGACGGCCCAGGTAATTTCAGGAAAAGAAATTAATTACAGTCCTGTTTACTCAGGAAACAAGTTAAGCATGGCCTATGAACCACTCAGCGCAGGTCAAAGAAGAATTAACTGGTTTTAAATCAAACTATATATCCTGTCTTCTTGATTTTAACAGTGAGAGTTCTAGTAGTCATATATGATTTGGTTATTCTTAGCAGAGTTTGAGAGATGGACAGTTATGTTAGATTTTATATATAAATCCAAAAGAATTTGAATGCAAAACTCTTTTCTTTTGCAATGCCTTTTTCCTCCTTCCTCACCTCCAATGGCTTAACACTGACTAGGACAGTGCTACTGCCAGAAAAATTACCTATAAACAAAATGAATTAAATATTTACTCCATTAAATCAGTAGGAGTTTTATGATTATATTCAGTAAAGTTATGATTTTTCCTCACGTCGTGCTAGGCATACTGCCTAGAAAAGGCATGGAATTCACTTGAACTAACAATCCAGTATCTCACCCATATACAAGGCTACACCACTATTTTTTTTTTCTGAAAAAAAAAAACCCAAACTATTTCCAGGCCCGTGTTGTATTCTCTCTTCCCCCCGCCCCATTCCCCTTTCTTTCATATTCTCCCACTTGAGAAAAGAAGCGAGGAATTATTTGGAAAAGGGGGATGTTTTTAATGAAATCTAGAAAAGACTTTATCCTCCCTCCTCCCAATAAAAAAAAAAAGATTATTTTCTCCTGAAGATTGCAAGAAGAGTTTTTTTTTTACAAGCTCTCATTAGCATTGAGATCTGGACCTTTCTCTTCAGCGCTTTGTGCTCTGGCTCGTGCAATGAGGTTGCCTTGTGTGACAGAAAGGAATCTTTCACTGGCATACAATGTACTTTCTTCCCTTCCCCATAATCACTTAACAAGAAGGGTTTAGTCAACAAGTGGCAACGCTCCGACAGCACTATGTGCTATTGGATCCCCACGCGTATGACCTGGTAGGTGCCATCTACAGTAGCTTCTCCCTCTGCAGCTCCTGCATCCCGCAGACCACAGTGGGATGGAGCCACCTCTCTCCCTGCCTGTTACCTGATTCTTCCCCTACCCATATGTGTGGCTGGGGTTTACAAGAAGCCTGTATGAGGTGATCATTGTTACAAGGCCATTTTTAGTCCTTGTCGGTTTTGTGCTGTGTTTAGTTCCCATAAATCATTCCATTCTTGCCAAATATATGGCACATATTTATATTTATAGCAGGGTTTTAGGTGAAGGGGGGAAAGAAAAGAAAAAGAAGAAAAAAGAAGGCCTGCAGGTATGATCAGGACCATTGTAGTAAGACGATACTAGAGAAGAGAAAAGTGCTTGCAGTGAATTTCGGAATCCTAAGAACTCTCAGGAAATTCTATGCATATCTAATAAATTCCTCTAAGTACATGGGTCCTGCAAACAGAGCTCTGTTAGCTACATTTAAATGTGCTGCAATATTACAGTGAGCATCAAAGTCAGGAGACAGGTCTACGGTGAGCCCTCACAGCAGGTATAATAGTTAATTTTTGTTTGTCTGCAGTAGTAATTTCCATCTTGTGCTTCCATAATACAGAATATAAGATATAGTAGTGTATTTAAAATTAATATTAATTATGAAAGGAAATAAAGACTGCTAGGAAAGTTATTACAATAATAATTTCAGTAGTAATAATTGGTCTTTTCAGTCATGCAGGTGTGAATTTTAAAAGATTTTAAAGGTCTACATGAACTTACAGTGGTGGTAGAGGTTACGAAGCAGATTCTGCAACAGGTCTTACATTACAGTTTCCAATTAAAGAACTGCAGGTTATAAATGTAGGTATTTCACTTGTTAATATCAGTGTAGGACTATGTTATTATAATTTCAAATGCTCTTATTCAGCATTTACATGTACCTTTGGCTTCAGTGCAGGTTGCTTGGTAGGAGAAGATGACAGCTAGGGACTCCACCAATTCAGCTGAGCCAGACTGGCTGAGGAAAATACAGGTTTTTGATTGTGAGGTGTTTACTGAATGAGCAGTTGAATTGAAAGTCGAAGAGAAACAGATATATTTTAAGAAGTTGTAAGACAGGGATCCAACAAATTTACAAAAATTAACACTACATCTCCCTCTACTGGATGTAAAATGAAATGAAACAACAAACAAAATCATTAGCCTACCTTACTTTCAAGCAGCACACGAATTTCGTACAGCCATTTATATAATAATGGCAACTGATTTTTATAGTAATTTTAGACCTAGAAATTAATTTGGTTATAAAAGCCAGAGGGGATCTAAATTTGAAATGATTGCTTTCTTAGGTGTCAGATGCAAGCGGATCTGTGAAGGTGTCCGTGGTAGCAGAGGAAAACCCCTTCTCCCAGGCCATGCTTTTGTCTGAGGAGTGCTTCATTTTGGACAATGGTGCTGCAAGGAAGATCTTTGTGTGGAAAGGTAAGAGATCACTTTGGTTGCAAATGCAGAAGCTACATAGACATATCTAAGGAGTTGACACCATATACTCGGGACGCTGGCAAAAATTAACACTGGCTGGACACGATACCCTGCACACAGTTCTTCCTTGGTGCAGCCAGTGGACAAGGATTGCCCACTTGGGTAAGGACCTCAAGATCGAGTCTTGTTTAAGGATCCTGGCTATTTTTGAGATATCTGTAAGCTTGGGTGCTTCAATGCTTATCTGAGTGGCAATTACAAAGCAAACAAAAAGAATTCTACAAGTTCTGTATATTGTCATCAAACCCCTATCTTCTGGGACAAAATCTGGACACTGAAGGTTTGATAATAGCTACACACTGTATTTCCATACATTGATCCACAGAGGTGTGAAATTGAAAGGTGAGTGTCTCAGGCATCAACTAAAGCATGAGCTTGCAAGTACTTTCATGCTTCTTTTTTATTTTTGTGAATATTTTTCTGTGGTATCATCAATGCTTGTAGGAGTGTCTGCAATTGCTTTGACTGAACATTTCCCAGGAGAAGAATATTACTGAGGGGATTAGGTGTGGACACATTAGCTAGATTGTTGTGGTGCTGCTATTGCATCCAGTGCTGAGTATCTCCCTTTTTTTTTGTCTGAGGCAGTGTATTAGTTATTCTGTGGCATTTGCATTTCTTTTTACCATGTGCAACAGCAAATAATTAATCAATGCAGTAGTCAAACTGCTGAAGTCAGTCCAGGAAGCATTGTAAGCATTTTGCTTGAAAACTTCATTTGCAGTTAGGGAAACAGCCTTTAAAAGAGAGCATTCTGGGAGCATTGTGCTTAGATGGCCTAAGGTCTACCTGACCCCATGATTCCTGGATTCCACTCTCTACCTGACAGCTCCTAGAAGAACCAAGCCAATAGGATCAGGCATAAAATAAATAAAATACAATTTAGGCCCTTTGAACGTGGCCCTATGTGCTCCTCAGTTCATCCTCACTTTGCTACTGTTGGTAACAATAATGTGTGGAAAATCCCATTAGTGTGTGAGTCTCACCCTTGCACTGGGAGGCTGCAGTTATCATCTCTGCTGGCAATCTTCAGACAGCTAAGCTGAGGAGTGTGAATTGCTTCCCTAATAGTCTCATTGAAAATGGAATACAATGAATAGCTTATCAGAGCATCCTATTAGACTAAGAGGTCTTTGGAGTATAGTCATTGACAGCCAGCTGGGACACAGACCTGATAACACAATTATCATCCCACAAAGACTTTCAGAGATGTCTGACACTGAGCAAGGCTGAACAAGGAGCAATGGATGGGGACAGGGGGTGGAAAATCGCACAGCCCAGCTAGACGAAATGGGAGTTTCTTCTACTCGGACTGTGGCACTGCCTGAAGAAGAAGGCAGTTCTGGACAGCAGCTTTATTTACCACATTGCAGCCCAGCACGGCAAGATTCAGGGGAAAGAGCCCAGGTGTTCTTGTACCTTGAACCAAGCAGATATTATAAACAGCTTTTTTTTTTTTAATGGAAACACACACACTAAGCAAAAAACAATGCCTCCTTTTCACTTTTTTTTTTTTAAATTTTATTTTATTTTAACTGTTTTTGAAGCCACTTAGATACTGTTTTGGCCATTCAGCTTTGTACGAGTCTTATGCTCATGCTATGTCCAGCATTTGTGTCTGTTCAAGACTGAAGCAAGAGTGATGTCGAAGAGAACCTGGCTCAAGGACATCTTGTTTTTGCAGGATCTGTGAGCTTATTGCCCTTTCTCATGTCTTGTTATCCTTCTGTTTTAACCAGGCAAAAACGCTAACCCACAAGAGAGGAAGGCCGCCATGAAGAATGCTGAACAATTCCTACAGCAGATGAATTATCCTGCCAACACACAGGTGCGATCTATTTAGGAGATGATACTAGGAGAGCATGAGCTCTATAAAGACTTTATTTTAAAATCAGCAAAAAAAAAGTATTTTTAAGGACTTATAAGACAATAAAGGTAATGTTTCACTAACAGATAATTCAGAAAAGTTTCTGTTCGAGTAACTGTGTCAGTTTTGTTTTCCTTCCATTTCAAGTGTCTTGCTTTATTTCAGATTCAAGTCCTTCCTGAAGGAGGTGAAACGCCAATTTTCAAACAATTTTTCAAAGACTGGAAGGATAAAGATCAAAGTGATGGCTTTGGCAAAGTATATGTCACAGAGAGAGTGGCTAAGATTGAGCAGATTGAATTTGACGCTGCCAAGTTACACGAGTGTCCACAAATGGCTGCCCAGCATAACATGGTAGATGACGGTTCAGGGAAAGTAGAGGTAATTTTTGTTGTATGCCACCTACCTAGTGTATTCTGTTACTTGTGATGGGATAAGCTGCTACTCTATGTTTTACCATTTAAACTGTTGTGTAGAGTAATGCTATGTTAGTGGCAGTGTTACTTCTATCATCAGAAAAAGTACTTTGAAGTAAAAAGTGAATCTCTCTGTCAGCTGTATGCTGGGTCATGTTTTTTTGGTGCTTCTGAAAGATGTTGTACCAGTCATTAGTAGAAATGAAACAGCAGAAACGTTTCCCCTTTTACACAATACCTGTTAAAAACATGCTTTAAATATGATCCTCAGCCTAAAGAAAAACTTCTAGCTCACATCAGCTTGAAATCTGGAATGGGAAAACTTGCCCTTGGAGTCAGAAATTCATTCTGTGTTTTTATGGATGTATCCAATCTGCTTTCTAGAGGAACCTTCCTTGTCCCTAGTGTGTCTCACACAGCCTGGATTTGGAACGAAAAAGATGACTGTACAGTCTTTCTAGATCTATCCGTATCTCACTGCAGGAATATCTTTGGACTACACGGGGCTGGTTTGGCATTGCACCAACACAGCCTGTTGAATACAGGTTTGCATATTGGGATTCTGGAAGAAAAAGAAGGGATAAATACCTACAGTCTCACTGGTGTATTTTCATAGGATGGTTTGGGTTGGAAGGGACCTTGAAGATCATCTAGTTCCAACCTCCCTGCCACAGGAGCATATTTTCTAGGTTTCTAACCAGAAAATATGGTTCTAAGCAGCTTAGATCTGAAGGATTTTTTGCTGTATAATTTTAGCAGTATGCTTTTGGAGAGCCGTTGTTAACTGAACTGGGCTGTAGTGAGTCAAATAGGAAGAAATCTGCCTAACAGCGTGTTACCTGACTGCAGTGTGCCTCTCCCAAATGATATGATAGTTCTATGATGAATCATAATGTTTTGCCATTCATGTCATATTGTCATCTTAAGACTTGAAGAAAGTAAGTTCAACGTAGCATGATGAGGTGATCATGTGGAATTAAAGCATCAAGACAAAGTGTACTGCAATGGCTTGTTGATGGTCATAATTCATTCGTTCAGTGGGTGCAGGGTGTATCTTATCTACTTCATGAAGAATCCTTCCTGGTTTATTCTATAGCACTTGGGAACAGAAACAAAGGTCACTCAAGGGCTGACACAATAAATTGCTTCCTGAAGAGTCTCAGCATGAAGTTCAGCATTCTCCAGTGATTTCTGTGTTTCCCCAGATCTGGCGTGTGGAAAGCAGCGGCAGAGTTCCTGTGGGACCTGAGACGTATGGACAGTTCTACGGCGGTGACTGTTACATTGTCCTCTACACTTACCCTAAAGGGCAGATCATCTACACATGGTATGCTTGGTCAGCACGTGGATATTATTTTAGCTGACTTTATGTCCTTTTCAGCAGAACCATGTGAAACTGGACTTAACCACTGTCTTTCTCATTTTCGTCCTCAGGCAGGGAGCCCATGCTACAAAAGATGAACTGACTGCCTCTGCATTTCTGACAGTTCAGCTGGATCGGTTATTGAACGGTCAGGCTGTGCAGGTTAGTGTCTTTGGGATAAAATTCAACAAAGCATGCAATATATGCAAATGTCTATCAGAATTGAAAGGACGAGGTAGCATTTGAAGACTGGGAATATCAACTGCTCATGGTTGGTATGGAGCCAAGCACCATGGGCTCCTTTTAAGTCACCAGAGATTTCCCATTCGAATCATCCCTTCTTGAATGTAGATGTCCAAAAGAACACAGGTATAACACAAGCTAAAACTGCCTTTTCTTTCCTTCGGCTTTTACTGTTTAAAAATTAGGTTTTAGTCCTGCCTAGCCTTACAAACTCTGTACAGTCAGTGGAGACCAAAGGATAAGATCCTCCAAGGGCAACTCACTCTGAAGCAGATGTTTGACAGGGCAATAGCCCTGCGTGAGCTCCTCTGTCTCCTTTTGATTATGTGATGTTTAGCCCAGACAAGATGCCTGACTTTTAGAGGGCCAAAACTGGGAGACATAAAAGCTGCATGACAGCTAGAAGGGGAGAGCCTGCAGGAATGATGCCGCAGGGTCTGGCTTGTCCCTGCCGTAGTGAGGAACTCAACTTGGGGTTTTCCGTCCCATAGTGCTTGCAGCTCCGTGAAAGCAGGACACGCATCCTCGCTTGCAGAGATGGAGTGTGCAAGGGAAGGTGCAGGACATCGGCAGCTAAAAGGTGTGACGAGATGAGCTAGTCTTAGTATGACTAGAGTGTGTGCTCTCCTTTCATCACCAGTGATGAGTGGTGGGTGGGTGGAGAGGTGAGAGGCCTCCTCTTTTCACAGGAAGGCTGGAGCTGGAAGATGACTAGGGACAGGCAGAGATTTTCTAGGCAGCAGGAGATAATGTTGTGCTTCCCATTTCTTAATTACCAAAGTAAAAGGCTTCCCCCACCCACCAAGGTACAGTTAATTTAGATGGCAGACCACACTTTTAGCTATTAATCAGTTACAATTTATGATTGAAATTATATTAAGGAAGGATTAAAACACTTCTAGGTAATTACTCCTTTAAATATTCCTAACACATGTTCTATATTTGGACAGAGTTCAGCACAATATGGTCCTGCCTCATAACTAAGGCCAATATTAATACCACAGTAATAATAATATTACTACTAACAGCTGCAATACTAATGGGCTTAAAAAGCCTTTTTACTAAAGCTGAAAGAGATCCATCTTGCTGCAATGGACATGTTACTTAAAAGTACTTTTAGCCTGCAATGAATTTAGGAATATGTGTATGTGTATATATATGTATGTGCATATATACACACACATATGTATGTATGCATATATGCATTTGTATGCATGTACATGGCTACCTAGAATTTACCACCTGTGCTTAGCGTCTAAGTTAGCGTTATTTGAAAGGTTTAAATGCATCATTTTGTGGTCACTAGATGGCACTACAGTACAAATGACCATTAAATAGTCGGTCCCCTATTCGTTTGCAGGAACGTGTTTCCCTCAGTTAGAGGGTTGGGTTTTTTTCTGTTTTCGGGGAGGTTTCTTTTGGGTTTGGGTTTTTTTGGCGTTTGTAAAATCCTGCCGCAGTTTGGCACCTACAAGTGTAAACATCCTAGGGTATCCTTATCAGGCAACTATCCAGCTGTGAGATAAGTAAAAAAAAGCATCTGCTCCTGCTGCCCAGCACGACCCCCGCTGCCGGGCTGCCCCGCACCTTGCCCCGCACCCCGGCCTGCCCGGCTCCGGCTGCCCCAAGCCTCCCGGGCAGGGCTACAGGGCTGGGGCTCGCCACTTCTCCTCTTTTGCTGGCCACTCAGTATGCCTCATGCCCTTTTTTCCCCTTTCTTTCCGGGAGTGAAAGGCAGGGGGGAGTTGCAGCCCTGTTCCTTGACAGGTGGGACTGATACAGAAGAAGAACAAACAGTTGTATACAAATAACTTTTATCATACATTCACCTAAAAATAGTCGTTCTTCATAGCTCAATGTTTTTTTGAGATTGCAATAACCTCTTTTGCAGCTGTATTGGAAGTTCATTTTCATCATCCATGTTATCTTCTGCAAGATAGATTTAGGCTCATCTTTTTCATCTTCTTGCAGATAAAATACAAATAGAAATAATAAACAGGAGGAATAACCATTCTCTTCTGCTTAAATACAGGGCACCTAAACTTCCAAGATAGTTTTTCAGGAGAATTAAGTCACTCTATAAAACTCTATGAAATGACAGTTCTTTTGAAAAAGAGTAATTTTCTTATTACAGTAGATAGCAGCCATTTTAATCAGCTAACCATTATGTTTTAAGTTTGAATCTTGTCTTTGTGTCAGCATGATTGACAAAAAAAATCTCACAAATGTTCTAACTTTAATGTGTCTGGAACTATATTTTTAGATCTTTTCAGCTTGCCACTTCTCATTTGTGCTAACATACTTAGCATTATTGGCTAACATCCCCTGTGCTATTCAACAAAGACCAAAAATAATTACCTGTGTCCTTTCTGTTTCTTTGATTGCATTTCTGTATGTATGTACAGATCCGAGTCAGCCAAGGCAAAGAGCCTGCACACTTACTGAGCTTGTTCAAGAGCAAACCACTTATTATCTACAAGGATGGGACATCCAAGCAGGAAGGTCAGAAACCTGCTCCACCCACACGACTCTTCCAGATCCGCAGGAACCTGGCAGCCATTACTAGGATTGCGGAGGTGAGGACACCTGCTAAGTAAACCAACTATTCCCCATGGGAAATGGTGTAGCTGCCACGAGCCTTTCTGACTAATCTTGTTAGGTAGTCACATCTGGTAGGAATGCAGAACTCCAGATCAAATTCCTTGTGACCAACCCATCTAATAAATCCAAGAGAATAAACTGTAACTGGCTGCAACCAATCTACATCTTTCAGAGGAAACTGTCAGAAAACGTGTAGTGGACAGTCAGCTGACAAAGAATAGACAAGAAATCAGCAACCCTTATGAGACAGTCTTTCCTATTTTACGAGATGGTAGTTAAACTATCTGCCAAACAGTCCTAACTTTTGCCCTTCACGTCAGTTCCCTGTCTGAGGTTTAAGTTCTTCTTTAATTTATATCAGTATTAATCTAGGAAAAAAATGAAGAAAAAAGGCATAGCTGATTAACATCTATCTACATATTTTATATAAACATGCAAAATAGTGATCACATTATTTGAAAATATGAAGAATAAAACAATTTCTTTCTTTATCTAGGTTGATGTTGATGCAATTTCACTAAACTCTAATGATGTCTTTGTTCTGAAACTGCCAAACAACTCTGGCTACACCTGGGTAGGAAAAGGAGCAAACAAAGAGGAGGAACAAGGAGCTCAATACATTGCCAGCGTTCTTAAATGCCAGACCGCTAAGATTAATGAAGGCCAGGAACCCGGTTAGTATGAGGCCACGTGGTTGCTAATAGGCAGCTGAGAATACCCAGCACTGCAAGGAAATACAGCCTAAATGGTTTTTGCGATCATTATTTTGTAGGCAGAAGCATATGCTCGCTCTCTCTCTCTCCCTCTCTCTGAAAATCCAACCTGACATTTACCATGGAGGTCTATCCAGAACTGGCTGATGCACAAGCAGTGCGATGCTCTGGAAGTCTGTAGGACAGTAGCAGGAGCTGCAGAGGAATGTGGTCTTTACCCTGAGGGCCTAGGAGGGGAGAAAGTCATAGCGTGTTGCTCTTTCTAGGTCTGCGAGTGATATTTTTATTGTTATTTTGACAAACTGCAGGGAGAACTGTAAGACAATGCACTCAACTTTGAGACAGCAAAGATATTGTTTGAGGATTCTTGAAACAGTATTTAACAAGCTAAACCAACAAATGTTAAATACACTGCCGAATAAATTATTGTGTATTTCAGAGGAATTCTGGAAGGCGCTTGGAGGTAAAAAAAAATATCAGACTTCATCACAACTGTTGACAAAGGGTGAAGATCATCCCCCTCGCCTGTATGGTTGTTCTAATAAGACTGGCAGATTTATTGTGAGTATATGAGGGATACTTTCCTCTCTGTTTAATTAAATAGCTCCTGTTATATTTTGCCTTGGGAATCAGCAGACATTGAATGAATTTGGGGATCTGGCTTAGTTAGCCATGCTTGGCAGGAACTAGAGAGTTGAGGTTTGGTGCTTTGAATCAATCCACATGCAGAGGACGGACAGAAGAATTAATGCTGCAGAAGTTTCCCTGCTCCAGCCTGGGACTAGAGGCTTGCAGAGGCCAAAAGATAAGGTGTTTGCTCAGTCAAACGCGATTGTGTTCTTGCAGAGCATTGCCAGAGTGCTGTCATTTCGCTGAGGAAGTGCAGGTCGGTGCCTTGCCCCTTACGTGTTTGATAGTGGTGGCAAGGAAAAGAAATGTCCCTTGCCAAAAATCCCTAGCAGTCTGAAATTTTCCATGGAGGTTTAAGACATGTAATTATGCCTTTAAGGTACTGGCCTGTGCCCAAGGAGCTAAGAAGACCTATTTCCTTAGCAGAAATACCCAGAGCTGTGCGCCGGGTGTGAAGCCTGTGATTCAGGCTCAATTACGTACTGTATTCTGGGAGGGGGATGCTGTGTCACAGTTGGGCAAAGATGCACTAATTTTTAGGTAGAGGACGTAGTTGGCTACCAGCTCTGCAGCCTCCTTAAGGCACAGCTCATTCATTTGGAGAGGGATAAAACAAACAGGATCCTTTAATAAGGACTTTAAAATCTTATGAGAGTAGTAAAGTGTATTCTTCTAACAGGCTTCTAAAACACTCCTGTGAAATACAGTAATAGGAATCAACCTCTCTATAACAGTCTGCTGGGAGCTATGCAGTTTTGGGTTTTGTTTTAAATTCCCTCCAAATTCTGTGAAATCCTCTCTTTCCTGTAGCATTTCTCTAGTAACAGCATCACCACTGTTAAAACTCACCAGAAAAGGTAGGTCAGATCACTCTCACCTTTCTGGCCACCATACCACAGGGTGGGCAAAAGGAATGTCTTTTGCACCGTCTGCTTACTCTCCCTTTAGCACTCCTATTTGACCAAGTATAGCCAAACCCTTGACAGTTCTTTAAAAGTAGAGGGCTGACCACTAGCTACATTATTGTCTCTCCTTCTCATACAGAATAGCATTAAACTGCTTTCCTATCTGCCTGCACATCCTTGGAAGAAGCAAGCAGTCTGCCATTCCTTTGGGGACTAATCCTCGATGGCTTAGTCAGCTGTAACATCCCATTGCCAAGTGACAGAAAAGCTTGCTTGGGTGTGTGTTTCATCACTAAGCTCATCCACTGCAAACCAAAGCAGTCTCTTTTCCTTATTAATGAATGTAAGCTGCCTTAATGTATCAGCTGATTGATTTAGTTTGCTTGGTACAAGGTGCTCTACGGAAATTTCCCTGTCTCCTTCTTCTGGTAGACCTCAGTCCCAACTTAACAATAGTCGCAATTACAAATAGTCGCAATCCTCTGCCTCTCCTGAGGATATCCTATCAATTCTGACAACCTGAGAGCTGATTTTATAGGACGTGCAATTACGTGATTTGTTTCCTTTCAGTGAAACGCCCTTGACACATTCATCACATCCGTTTAGGGCTTGACCCTTTAGGAGCAAAAAGAATTGCACACCAGCTTCTCGAATTTCCTTTTAAAAATCTCTTTGGTCTGTGCAAAATCAGAATATCTTGATAAATCATTAAAAACCAACAAAACCCCTAAACATAATATCCTTTTTAGATTGAGGAGGTCCCAGGAGAATTCACTCAGGACGATTTGGCTGAAGATGACGTCATGTTGCTGGATGCTTGGGAGCAGGTAAGCTGTGTACTTGACTGCTGCTTTTTATGGTAACAAGAACAATTTATTCTTAACCACTTAGATCATAAGATGGGAGGAAAAATCATCTTTGTGAGAGTGGAAGAGGTTTTGTTTTCTTTAAATTATACCAGAGGGAGCTACATTTTTTGAGCTATATGATGTGCTAGTGTGAACATACACAACTGAATTTCCAAGCATAATGTGAGCACACAGCAGGCACTTCCCAGGAAAACCAATGGAGGCTCCAAGAGTATAAGCCCCAGCAGTGTACTGAAAGGCTCTCAGTACTGTTCTTGACTTTATCACTAATATTTATTCATTTTAAAAAGAAAGGTATTGCATAGAAGGTACTCAGAAGCCTCAAAATCCATGTAGGCATCATCTACAAAAAGTCTTACCAGAGAAGGGGGACAAACAGTAGACCCTTACACAGATTTCTTCAGAAGAACTGAGTGGAGGGTGACAGAAATAATCTGTCATTTTCCCAGGTTCACTGAAAACTGAAAGCTTTTTGGATCACAGGCAAACTTACTGTGGGTACGGAGGGCACATCTGTTTCTCACAGTGTATTCTCTCTACCCTTCCTCTTCTCTTGGAGGGAAAGGAGGAGGAGACCACAGATCCCACAGTTTGTCTTCTTCAGCCTAACCCTTAAGGAAAAAAAGGCTGAGGTTTTTGGAAATGAGAAGGAATGTCTAAGGTCCATGGGGGAAGGTGGGTGGAAGAGCTGGATGGGTAGTAGTTGGGACATACTGGCTCAGGTAAGAAGGAAAGAAGTCCAGGACATGTAGCTGGTTTCCAAAAGGATCCTTGACAGATAAAAAAAAGCAGAGACTGCAGATCGAGGCTCTGGTTGTTGGGTTATTCAGTGGGTTATCTACTAGTTACCCTGGCAAATTGTAAAAGATATCCATGGATAAGGTAATTAGAGCTCCTCTCATCAGAGTGCATAAAGATACAGTCCTCCAGCATCAAGAGAGCAGTGAGATTTCAGAGGATAGAACTACAGTCTCTTACAGGAAGAGAAAAATAAAATCATCAATTGTGGTTTGTGAGAGCTGTGTATTTCTGCAGTCTTTTGATAGTGTATATTCTATCTCCTAGTGGAACCAACTATTTTGTACTTTACCTGCTGTACACAACATCCGTATAACAACATGGGAGCTCTATCTGTCTCTCCTCTGTTTGCAGGTTTTTGTCTGGATTGGGAAGGATGCTAATGAAACTGAGCGAGAGGAATCTGTTAAATCTGGTAAATAAAATTAATTTAGCAGACTTCTGAGTGAAGTAGCATCAGTATTACTTAAAGAAGTGAAAAAGATGATGTAGAAGAAATCTAGATATGTTTACAGTGTTTAAAAGTGTTACTGAGCCTATTCAGATTTAATCCTGAAGAAGATTTTCTCCTTTAAGCGTGCTTTAAAACTCATTGTATCTTATTTGTAAGTTTATGAAGGGTAAAATTAATCAAGATAGCATTACTGGGCTGAAAAGCTTTTTAAAGAATATATAGGAGAGCTCCATAAAAAGAAACTACACTGAAGAGAGAGAATTTAAAAGGAGATGCCTGCTGAGCTGCACTCTACACTAATGTATATAGCCAAAGGAATGCCTCCAAATCCTCAAGTCCTTACGCTGCCACCCTTCACTGAGTTAAATTTGGAGAAGGACATCCCAATTGCAGAGCAAATGAAGACAACTCACATGGAGCGCACCTCCTTGAAAAATCTAGTGTCATCTCTGGTGTGATTTCACATAGCTGAGCTGTTCTGACAAAGTTCATGCTGAAAATGCTTGCAGGTATTTCCCTGGAGCAGCTAGAGTCACCCAGCTGTGCTTCTGATACGTACTGATGTCACGTTCCGATGTCAAGGGAGACTATACTGGCTTTTACATAGGAAAAACGAGAATGAAGCTTGTGCGTCTGCACAGCACCAGAAAATTCCTTCCCCTGTTCAAGAGCCAAATTGTCCCAGCTGTATGGCAATTGAGGTGATTAGAGCAACAGTCCCTCTGTTTTAACTTCCTGGAAAATTCTTTCACTGGCAGCTGGGAGAAATCAGCAATTACCTGATCATTTCATTGCCTTTGAAATAATTTAATTGAATACTGTATTATAGTAGCCCTGGGTTCTTTCACGAGGGCCTTTAATGTATTTTTTATACCAAAGGAATGAACTAATATATGACATGTTTTATTCCCTCTCCATTTCTAGCCAAACGCTATATTGAAACAGATCCTTCTGGCAGAGATAAGGGGACCCCCATTGTAATCGTGAAGCAGGGGCATGAACCCCCAACATTCACAGGCTGGTTCCTGGCTTGGGACTCTAACAAATGGAAGAACTGATCTATCCAAGGAGGCTTCAGCTTCAAGCCAAAGAATGATCAGACCCCAGCTACTTTCTAGTATTTTTAAGCATAAGCTTGTGCAATGATATGACGTATCTATTGTTACGCTTTCCCAAGCTTCAGTATGTTTCTATGAATAACATAGAAATTCTTAGCACTGGAAAGGATACATGATAATTGTAAACTGGTCAAATGGAGTGAGTGGGGCTTTTCATATAGTAAATATGGAAAGTGCTACCAATACTTTCTTTAATCTATTGATTCTTCAAACAGAAGCTGCGGATCAGTTTATTTTAATGTGCTAAAATGGGCCAAATTTTGCCTTCACTTAAAAATCCAAACTAATGCCACAGAAATTCCTTTAGATTAAGGTCAGCATAATATTGTGCAGAATTTGGCCTGATGAAGGACTAATTCTACATCTGTTGCAACGGTAGGACTGCACATGATTGACTTACTAGGCCAAAATATAGCCACACTCACATAAAATTTCAGATGGAACCAATCCAGAATGGGAGCTGTGTCTTGCAGGGGGCAAATAAGGGTATTTTGAGAAAGCTGTGCTTAGCATGTTTGTCTGTCTCGGTAGTACATATATTTGGAGCTGCGGACTGAATGGCTGTAAGAATACGAAGTTGACAGAGGTTTTTTTGAGGGACTGTCTAGCTCATTGCAATGAATTTCTTTAGATTTATCTCTGTGAACCACCTCCAGCTCCACTAGGTCTTTTTAACCAAAGCTCTTAAACACATTCTAGTGCACTAGTGCTTTTAAGTGGAAGCAGAAGAACTAACAGCTTCAAAAGTACGTACTGTGCCTTAAGCCGATTGCACTTAAGCCATACTTTTGTCTCAGTTGCCTTACTCAGCAGCACTCAGTTCTTTTCCAGCACGCGGAATGCTCACCTTTTCAGGTGCAGGATGTGTTTCTACTTGTTCTCTATGCAGGTCTTAGTCAGGTATCAAGTACATCAAGTGCAAGTGCAAGGATATGCCTTCTTTCTGTAGCATTCCACATCCTGGGAATTTGGAGTGTGAGTACTCATCATGGAATATGGCCTTCTCTTTTCTCTCAGACACAGTTATTTGGGATTTTTTTTATTCTGGTGAATTTAAGAGTACATTTTTTAAGTGTTTTTTATCTGTAATTTAGCCAGAAAAGTCTATGTAAGGGCAGTGGGAAAAATTCCGCTTCAAATCTTCAGCACTGCTTTGATCACTTATCCTAAAATGCTTGTTTTAAACAATTCGCACAGCTGTAAATCATGTCAATGTGGCTTTTTATTGAAGGCATTTCAATATTTTTATCATTCTTACAAATTAGGTTGGAAAGTGAAGTTTTAGACATTTTTGTATTTGTTTTTTAACATGATAGTGATTTTGAATCTGGGTAATGCAAAAGAGTGAGTTTAGTCCAAGATCATAATCAATATCAATGAGAAAAGAATTGTGAAGTTAAGAGATTAATTATAGGAGTTTCTTAGCCTTAAACATTTGTTTATATCTCTGATTATATAACTGGGCTGTATCTGAATGTAATTTCATTTAAAATAAAATTACAAAAACCAGTATTCTGTATGCTGAGCTGATCTTCCTCTCTCTGACATATTGTAGCTCAATGCTTCCACTGACATCTTGCGAGACTTCTTAAAAAACCCAGTGGTACCTTCCTTTTTAGATGGACAACACAATGAGAACTTATTTGGTTTTACTTTGGAGCCATTTTACCCAATGAAGGGTTAACTCTTCCCAGCACCTTGAAAGTTACTTCAGTGAAAATCAAAGAACTATCAGCTTGTGATTTCATCTTTAAGAAAAATGACTATTGTTTTTATCAAACTCTTTGGCTTTGTAACTTTCTACTTGCAAAAATTATCAACTGCAGAAATGACTGTTTTATAAAATTAGGAGGAAATTAGGCATATGTTTGTTTTTGAAGCATAGGTCTTGTGTTTTATTTGTGAGAATAGATAAGGAGATGCCCTTCTCCTACTGGAAGGGGCACAAAGACCTTTTCAGTTCCTCAGCTATTGCACTTCATGCAGCCACTGAGCAGCCTGTAATTATCTGATGGTTGTCTTCCACACATACATATGATTCTTCCCATTTTTTAAAAATAACAGTTATAGTAGCTTCTTAACCAAGGATTAGACAAGACTTGCCCTCCTTGTACATAAACATCTTCTGGAACACTGTGGGCTCTGAACTGGCACGGTCTGCCAGCGTATTCTGCAGCGCTGTGAAAGCCACTTTTCAGTTCCCTCGCAAAAACAGAGGAGTTTTTGTGGTCGCCTAGCCTGGGCGTTTGGGTTTACAATACATTGTCCTGGCATGTTGATTACTGATGTTGATTACTGATGTTGAGAAGAGCATTGAGAGCTCATAACGGAACAGTGTTCTCAGCTGGGCTTTAAGCACAACAGCTGCCAGCAACATTGTTCTTGGGTTTGCTTGTTAGCGAGGAAGTTTATTTTTCATACATATATGCGCAGTACACACAAAGATGTATTTCTTTCTCTCTGGAAGAAGAGAAAGAGGGAGAGAGGACAGATAGGATGGACTATGAGTGCTTGGAAATATTTAAGATTAGGCTGTTTTCAATAAAACATTTAAGCACATAACTTTATGAATACCCATAGCAAACCAATCTGCCTTGTTTTCAGAATAAATAGAAAAAATTGTGCAGATGTATACAGTACAGTCAAGTCCAGTCAAGAATAAGCTATATCTTGCATTATTACCATACAGTAATAGTACATTCACTCTATTTGTAATGGCAAAATTAGACCCTGAGTTAGCAGTTTCATTGTGCCACCAAACAGCAAGCATTCGTATATTCTATTGCTTGTAAATACAGCATCGTTTTTCATCTTTGTTTTATAGAATCTCACTGCAACAGCAAGATGTTAGGAATCCTTAGAGCCAACAGGACATCATAGTATTATATCGTATTGGCAGTTTACATAAAATAGCATAATCTTAGAATACAACTGCAGATTGGGCACAGGAGAGGAGCCAGCCTCTGGAATCGCTGCTCTAAATACCCATTTTGACCATAGCACACAGTGCTACACAGCATCTGATCTGCTGTAAACGATTACGTTAAATGTAGCTAAATTCAGTTGAACAGTTCAGTATCTTGCCAGGTCAGATACACATAGGCTTCGCCTGCAACACCAAGAAAATGATGAAGACGCTAAACAATGGGATTGTAGTACCATCCCTCACAGCAGAACTAAGGAATCATACAGGAAAATACCGTGTTTACTGGACTACAGCAGAAGGTGCTCTCAGACATCTCTAGGCTACAGGAACATGTCTTGTTATGAACTTTGCAATCTTCTTGTAGTCTTCATTTCTACTGAATCTAAAAAGGCTTAAAAAACTTTAAAAAGCCAAAATAAGGTTATTATTTTCCATGGACTGACGTTGCTCTTCAGAGTCCACTTCTCTATAGGAAAGCTTGAAAAAAACTTCAAACTTTGATTTGGAATACAATTGCTTCCTCAGCATCTCACTGAAGTTGTGCCTTTATGGCTTAACTGAGCCAAATTTAAGTATACAAGACAAAAAAATTATTATCTCATAAAACCACAGATAATACTATAATGTGCTGACTTCCCAAATCCTTGCATTTTCTTTTTTAAAGACAATAACTTTGTCTTTAGATAAACAAATGGTACACTTTTCCCTTCCTATGGCTAGGACTTTTGCTGCTAAAATCAAGGGAACTTCTGATTTCATTGAAACCATAATCAGATCATTAATCCACTACAGGTCCTTAATGTCTCATTACATCCTCTCTAGACTGGCCTGAAGTTACTTTGACCTCTCACTATTAACACATTACCTTATGCTAAAAATCAATAAACAACACTTACTTCAATTAAAGCTTCCGAGGTGCAAGAGGGGGAAGGGCAGACCTCCCAGGGAACTGGGAGGCCCACCATGCCATAAAATTAGTCGATGACTGTTCTGGCCCTTCTCCCCTGCATGTCATTTTCCTCTTGAGATTGAAGCATATTTGCAATATAGGGAAAAAAAAAAAATCTATTCCTATAGAACAAAACACGTAAGGTGATTTGTATTTTTTTTTTAAATTATAACAAATGGAGTTATTCTAGGGGAGCAGATAGAAGGGGAATCAGCCTGTACCAAGCTGCTTCCTAAATGCATCCACATGTCCACCCTGCAAATGCTTTTTCCTCAAAAGGATGCTATGAGTGTCTACAAGATTGTACCTTTTACTGCCACATTTAATCAGTTGGTACTGAAATATGGGCCTCCCCAAAAATGAAATGAAAGCATCCAGTAAAAACATTAATTTTTACTGTTTGATAGGCTACAGATCATTTACTTAGAGTATGACCTGGATGGGGGCGAGTAGGGCCAGTGAAGGTATGTGCCATGTTTATTTGGGAACATATCACAAAACCAAGCAGTGAGGCTGGGACAACCTGAACAGTATCCCACCAGAAGGCATGTTTGCTTTAGCAGCAGTAATGCTTTGATTATTCTAGCAAACCCTCTTGACCAGTGCTAGAAGAGCACAGCTCTCTCTGCTGCTCTTTAATACATTTCACAGAGGTGACTCAGGGTGATTTCACAGCAGTTGGCAATATTAACATCAAGGCTGAACGCAATCAGGTGATTATAACATCATTTACCTGACAGTTCACTGTGCTTTGTGTTGTCTGATGCCCTTCCTACAGAAGAATCAGCAACAATCCTCATTAAAATAGACTATTGCTAGGAGGAATCTGAGATAAATTTCCCTTTGGGCTTAGATTTTTGTAGAGGTGGCTCAGAAAGGTCATAGGTTTCCTGTAAGAAGCCTGGCAGCACAGCTGAGTCCCTGTTTAACCAGCTGAGTGGGGCTGTGGTTATCTTTCTTGGTGTCAAAGATTGCTGCCCTCACCGCTACTCAGCTGCTCTCATACTGGACTTGGGGGAGAACTTAGTTGTTGTAGCAGGGAGAGGAGACAGGAGTGACAGTGAATGTCTTATCAGCAAGGACGACAGGTAAAAATTCCTCTCTAACAATCCTCTACTTTCTTGCTAGACAGTCTCAGTCAACAGTAGATACCTCACACACCTTCTGCTGCCAGACTCTGTCCCATCCTAGTATTTGTAGATGCACTCCAGCATCCACTAAGTAAATATCCCATGTGTGAATTCCCAAAGCTTGAAGTGGTTGTTTTTAAGATTGTGTGAGGAAAGGTGATGGAAATGTGTCCTGTATTTCAAGGAGCAAACAAGGATTCTGGTAACCTGCATTTCCTGTCGTCTGTGCATCCTTGTGTAACCTGAAGTAACTCACTGAATTTCAGTGCTTCTATTCTCCACCTGTTAAATGAGGATTTCTTCCATCCTCTCCCTGTTTATTTAAGCTGTGCTGTCTTTTAC